GCACTTATCTCTCAAATAACAAAATTCTTCATATTTATAAAAATTTCCATTTTTGTATTCTCTGTGAACAGATTTCTTCTTGAAAACTAATTTTTTCAGCTCAGAATTGAACCATATTAGGAAAGTAGAAGTTTTTTTTTAATCTAAGTGTTAAAACACAAACTTTGACCATTAACGAAAAACTCTAAAACATTTGCAGTAATGGAACTACTGATTTGGAGTTGAAAAAAAGAAACTGAGAATGTAGGCAGTGTTACCTAATACATTGGGTCAACAGTAACTAGACTAAATATTCAACAGGCTAAGGAATTGAAAAATGATGCGACTTGGTACGCAAATCATGCGCGTGAATCTCAATATTTATTACAAATAGTAAAATGCGAGGCTGTCGCTTTTGGCGACTATTACGAGAGGAGTTTTTACAACCATTTGTTTTAAATAATCAATCAGACATCAAGTCAGTATGTAACCATAGAAAAAGATGACTCCGAAGGTAAATTCGCTCCACTGTTACTTCAGCCAGCTTTAGATCTCCAAGTATCATTACATTTGAAGCAAGTTTAGTATGATGGCTATTGCCCCACTGTCAAGGCATACTTGTTTAAGCGATCACGTGGCATCTGGTGATATATATTTTGCATCATATGAGGCCACTAATAAACACAAGCAATTACATAAGAAACAAGAATGTTTGCCCATCACGAAGATTCGTCTTCAAAGAATTGCTGCTAGACGTACAAGAGAAATGTTTTGTTTGGATGATGATACTGTATGATTGGATGAAAAAGATGTTGACAGAACGAATGTTCCTGACATTGAAAACCCAAATGAGAATGAACCTGTTGCTATGCCAGTAATTAATAATTTTACCAAATGGGTTCAAATTCCATAAACTCAAGATGATTAAGTCTGGTCTTCAATTAATATTATTAATCATTTATTGTTTTGTTGATTCTTTAAAACGTTTGATTTTATGTTAATTTTATTAAAAAATATTGAAATAAAACACTTTCGGAATTGCCATTTTAATTCAATAATTATTTCTAGATGTAAAATTGTAAAATATGTGACGTCACACTAGAGAGGGGGTCAAAAATCATTAAATTCGTGTGACGTGATTTATACAGGGCTATTCAAATTCGTTTCTGTACATGGGGATCTCTTAAACGTTAGAGATAGAGTGTCGGTTAAATTATGGCAAAGTTGCGTATTTAGAGACCTATTCAACGATGTAATGAAATCGAATATGGCTCTTTTGGTTCTGGAGATACACAGGAAAAACCAAAAAATCCTAAATTATTTTTTGTATTCATATTTTTTCCATTGCTCTGAGCGTTTTCTACAATGAACTTCGAATAAGAAAACCCACATCAAGTGCCAATAGCAAAATGTCGACAGATTTTCAATATATCTGCGAATAAAGAAGATATAGGCAAAAAAATAATTTGTTGGATTTGTTGGTTTTTCCTGTATATCTCCAGAACCAAAAGAGCTATATTCGACTTCTTCACATCATTGAATAGGTCTCTAAAATACGCAACTTTGCGATAATTCAACCGACACTATCTCTTATCATTTACGAGATCCCCATGTACATAAACGAATTTGAATAGCCCTGTAGATGGCCCCTTTGTTTATTATATGAGTAGTCAGTCGGACGGTAGCCGGTCGGTTCGACGTAGGTGGTTTGACTCACTCAAATCGACCGCCGTGTTGGTCGCTGGTTCAAGCCACAAGCTGAATGACCGATTTTCACTTGCTATCGTCCAACCCGTGTTAGGAACCACACGTTAAAAGGTAAGACCTCGTTAGTCCTTAGCTCTCGCAAGTTTCGGCTTTTGAGAGTTGTCGTTCGTAGGGGTGCGACAGCTGGTTAACGGAAAAACAGATTTTAAACAAAACAGAAACAGCCAGTTGTTGATTTTACTTGTTATTGAATAAAAACTAGCAGTTAAATTTTTCAACGTTCATTTGGAAGATTCCACACATTCTATCAAACTATTTGAATTAAAAATTATATTTCATTCACATTCTCCAGACTTTTTTTTTGTAGTAACTCAATCACAACTTTTTTATGTGCACATCAACCTCTATCCTCAGCAAAAAAATCGCTATAAAGAATAAATTATTGGAACAACAAAAAATTACTGCACAAGAAATCAATATAGTTCAGAATAATAGTTGAAAACTCATTATTGAAGTTATTTTTGCGATTCACATTCACCAATTTCTCACTATAGGAAAAAGATACTATCATGAATATTTGTTAAGAGGTTATCGAAATTTTTTTATTGATGGAGGGAACAGATGCTGGAAAATTTTGTGAAAAAATAAAAATCACAAATTGTGATATTTATTTCATTTTTCCATACACCTATATTTTGGTAAGTTATTATTTTCGACCACCCATTAATTTTTTATGAGGTCAGTTACAAGAGTCTTCAGCAATTTTCAAATATTCTGTGAAATATCAAATTCAAAACAAATATAGGCATAACAACTAGAATGTATCAACAAAGTGTTTATAGCATTTGACAAATTGACGAAACAATATTAAAATGATGATGATTACAAGATTTTATTTAACCTTCTTGTGTAGTTTTCAATATATGCATGTATGTTGTTTGGTATAGATTTTTCAATTTCCAGAAAACACTGCTATGTTTTGATACAATATGATCTACAATAGAGTTTAATTTACACACGCTGTCTGTTTAAAAAATAAGGTGAATATTCATTTTTTCTCAAAAAATATTTATTTATTCCTCAATTTCTATTTTTCCCCTTCAAAGTATTCCCCTAAGATATAATATACTTCTGCCAACGTTTTTTCCAATCCTCAAACGCCGTCCTTTCAATCTTGGGAACAGGAAAAGTCGCAGGGGGACAAATCCGGTGAACATGGTGGCTGAGACATGATTACGGTATTGTTTCAGGCCAAAATATTACGAACAAGCAATGACGAGTGATGAAACGGTCATAAATTGTTCTTCCACAATACCGGACGCATTGCTTCTCGCAAGCTGCACATAACTTCAAGATAATACTCCTTATTGACCTACGAACATGTTGCAGGAACACCTGATGCACTACGCCACGGTAATCGAGGGAAACAGCAAAACCTTGACATTTGATCGAAATTTGCGTACTCTCCTTGTCTCTTCCATTGGGACAATTGAATCGCCGTTGAAGTCATTCAACAATTCCTAAGTGATGCTCATGCGACGGTTTTTTTGGTCGAAATCCAACAATTTTGAAACGAACTTTGCTGCCAGACGCTTCACGCCCAAAATTTCCGAAAAAATTGCATGGCAAGAGCCCGTTGATAGGCTGACATCCTCAGCAACTATTCTAATAGTTATTCGACGATTCTCTACAACAATTTTCTTAACTTTCTTAACATTTTTATCGGTGATTAATGTGTTGGGACGTCCAGGGCGAGCCATCGTATGCTAATGTCAACATTTCAAGTATTTTTGTGCACTTAATTTCATTTTTTACACAAAATTCAATGCAAAATCATTGATCCATTTTTTTCGATAGTAGAAAAATTTTATTTTTTCTTATGGGCGCTACATTGGATTCTTTCTGTTTTTAATAAAACCAGATTTTACCTGATGTATCATAAGTTATCACTCGTTTTCGAAAAATTGGAGATATTGAAAAAATTATTTCTTATCATAATATGCTTTGACTTTGATGTTTCTGAATTTGACTTTCAATTCGTTACAGTAAATGACATTTTGTTATTGTACAAGTCATTGAACTTTTGGCAAAAAATGGCTGTCACTTATAGTGAAAATCATTGAATAAACTCTATTTATTAGTTTTTTGAATATTGATTTTCATCAAGTATCGGCCAGTTCTATTCAATTAAATCAGAATTTGATGAATGAGGTGTGTATGAGGTAAATTAGACATTGTGTCCTTTTCAATGAAAATAGAACTTTGAACAAATAACAATAATTAACTAAAATGTAAAGACAGAAGTTAATCACAGCAAATGCTCAAAATGCTGGCTTTGTTAATGATAACACAACCGTGCCCCTCTTCAAATATTATTTACTGCACGATTAATTTTCCTCCTNGAATATCCATATTTCGTGAAAGCAGATGATTTTGATGTCAAAGGGTCCTCTTATTTGCGAAGAGATCCAGCAATAGGCGTCATCCATTAGGGTGTCGCGACACCGACGCCATTTTTTTTTAGAATAGTAACCTAGATTTTCCGATTCGTTTTTGTATTCTGCATTAAATTCTGAATTCAGCCATATAAGCACACTTGTAGTTTTCCTTGAATACTGATGAAAAAAAGCAATTTAATTGTGTATTATAAAGAGGGCCATGAATAAGTCAAAATAAATGCAATAATGTATTTATCGATCTATCAAAAGACCTGTCAGATTTGATGGACGAAAGTGTTTTCTGTTTTGTGTTGGTTTTTCGTAAAATTGAAAAATATTTCAATTTCAAATGCAGAAAAGTTGGGAGATGATATATATTTATGGCGAAGCAAGAAGGAATTCAAAAGAAGCAGTGAGAATATACGCTAATCGGTATTCTGACAGAAAATTACTGTAAAACAAAACATTCGCTGGCTTAGCCAAATCTTTGGCACGAAATGGATGTTTTAATGAACGGAAGAAAAAAAAAAACAAAAACGGCTACTGATGAGAATCACAGTGTTGCAGTGAATTCAGAATTTATTGCAGAATCCAAAAACGAATCGGAAAATCTAGGTTACCATTTAAAAAAATTGGCGTCGGTGGTGCGACGCCCTAATAGATGACGCCTATTGCTGGATCTCTTCGCAAAAAAGAGGACCCTTTGACATCAAAATCATCTGTCTTCACGAAATATGGATATTCTCTATCATTTTTCAGATATTTGCCCGCGGAGTTTTATATGGGACACCCTGTATATATCCGTGAAAAAAGTACTCACTTTTTTCCCGGGGAAAAAAGTAATTTCATAAAAAATGACATAGTGTTACCTGTCATCAGAGATAAAATGTCAAATTTTTTTTCCCGTCACAGAAAAAATTTATTTATGGGTGAGCTACTGGTATGAAAAAACATTATTTACTCTATTATTTACTAACTTATACCAGCAGTTCAACTGTTAATGCAATAGGCATGGAATTAGAAATGAATGAATGAATGTTACAACAACCTACCAAAAACATACGGAATGATTCTCACAGATATGAAAATTTAAGGATGAGTATAGGTTTCGCATAGTGCTTGTAAGAGAATGATTTTGTTTTCAGGATAACAAAATACAAAATGAAAACGGAGCAAATCAAACTTGTATGGATTTAAATGAAAACAATCTCAAACAAATCTTCATCAAATGATCACTTACCGATACTCAGCCTTAAGCAATAGTCGTTAGTAAAATTAAAAAGAAAACCGGTTAGCTAAATCTTAATAATGTCTCCAGTCCATTCGACCTCAACACCAAACGAAGTTAAAAGAAAACTCTCACCTTTTCATTGCTAGTGGGCTGGCCCTGCTTCTTGACCGACTGCTCAGCCGATTTTGAAGCTGACTTGATTTCCTCCAACGTGACGCCCTGTGTGGATCTACGCGTTTCACGGACTCGCTTAGCATGTGCCTTCCTTTGAGTTTCACTCTCTTCGTCTCTTACGGGTGGGACGAAGGACCTGCAAAACACATTTATTTAAGTAACCGTTAAGACAAAAGAATCAGCAAAGGATCCTGCACAAAATATGAAGAGAAAAGTATACTATCGTTTGAGTTAAAACCAGCTGAAATGTATTTCTTCAGGGACACTGGATGATAGTTGGCCCAAACGTCTCTAGATTTTTAGTTGCGGACATCTGAAGGTCGCATTTTTTTTGTTGTGATTCATGGTTTTAGTTTTGAAGGCGCTGTGGTAACTCAGTATAATTATTCTAGACATATTGATAAAAACAATACTTGTCAGAATATCAATCAATCAATCAAACAAACATTTATTGAATCAGTTTTCCTTCACANAATGTCCTCACTAAGGTTATTATATAGCTTAACCACACAGCACATGGGGTCATTCTTTGATACTGTCAATCTTCTATTAGGTTGATGTAGTTGAGAGTTATTTATGGTCAAATGCTCATGGATTTGCTCATTTCTAGGAATAAATGAACAGCATCAATGTATAGAGTACAACATTCTCTATCAATCAGTATATACCACACAGAAGATAGTCTACTTATATTCTTACAAGTATTGTTTTGATCGATATGTCTAAAATCATACACAGTTATTATAGCACCCATAAAGGTAAAAAAAATCTTCATATACAAAAATATATTTTGCCATCTCCAGATATCCACAACTAGAAATCTAGGTCTTTTATGACCCAGTGCACATATGATTCTCATTCGGTGCCCCTTAAAGGGTACATTTCAGCCAGTTTTGTCTATAATTTTTTTTTTTTTCGTATTTTCCGCGGAATCCTTCGACAGTCGACAAACACAAGCGCCAAGAAACATCTTTCTCTGCCATAAAAATCACCTCGTACAACCACAAGCTTTTTAGTAGAGAAAAATCGAAAGCATAACATTCTCTTGGTGACGGTATTAGTCAGGCTGGTCTGGACAGGATGGAAAAACATAACGAGTATTTTTCGAAGCACTTCAGGCAAGATGCAGCTGTCAGGGGGAAACGTTCACTGTTAGAATGCGACCTGTCACACAAAGGGAAATCAAAACGTACTTAAAGAAGTTTTTGAGCATCTGGAGTTTGGTTCCGCCGGGTGTTGTGGGTGTCGAAGTTGGCGAATTTGTCGCCGGGCTAGGTGTAGTAGTTGGTACGGCTGCATCTATTTTTAACTTAAGACCGCTGGTCGAAAATTCAAAGATTTAAAAAAGTCACTAATGTTTTTGAAAAAGCAATTGAAGTCAACAAAGTTGAAGGGTAAAGAGTAAAAAACCACCATTCACTATGAAATATTTGTATTCGAATGTGAATGTGAGACAATTTAGGTGAAAATGTAATTAGGTGTCCTAAGAGAAAGATCAAAAATATTGTTATTTTTGAAAAAAAAAAACAATAAACTTCAGAAATTTAAATTTTTCATCTATTTCACTACTTTTAGGTTTGTACATTTTTAGTACATGAAATGAATGTATTTCAACTGGATATATTTCAAATTTCAATAGTTAATTTCTTGTTCGAGGTTACTATATAGTAGGCAGGGGTCTCCAAACTTTGAAGCCTTCGGGCCATAATGATTTTTTCAGTTTGTTCCAAGGGCCAATTTCTGCCCTTAACTATATTTCTAGACTAGGATAGTCGGAAAGTGCGTGACCTAAGCAAACTTACGTTTTTTTTGCATTTCAATTATTATTGTGTATTGTGACACTTAACGACATCTAGTGGCGAGTAGTGGTACTATGTACTACCTTTTTCAGCTACCCGCTAGGTGGCATTAGGCGTAATTAAATATTTGGAATTACCGCGTTGGTTCGAGAAAGTTCTGGTTCTAGCTAGTGTATTCCGATCACCTCGAGATGGCAGTAATAATTGCATATAAAAAGGCTAGCGGCGCAACTGCGAGTTAGTCTGCGTAGGAAAGGCGAAGGAAGCGAAACTGTCTATTGTGAAATAAAGTAACACC